GACAGCAGACCTGTAAAAATTTTACAAGTTAGTAATCTAGTAATTTCATTGGCCAGAATGAATGCGAAGTCTCTGTTACATGGATAACATGATATTTTAGACATTTCTTCAAGATCAATTTAAGAACTAATTATTTACGTTTACTATTGTTTATAAATGAGTAACAAATAAAATATTGTACATTATACGCCAGGTAATAGTTATTACTGGCTCTAGGAGATGACAAGCTCGCCTAACGGCTCGCTAGTCAACTTCTCTTATCGCCAGTAAAAACTCACTTACCTGGCTAATAATGTAAAATACTATTTCCCTCTTGTTCAGTCCAGCCGGGGACACACTGTATAATAGTAGGTATCTTAATAGGTACTAACCTATTTTCCGACCCAGTGGAAGTAAACCCAGATAATAATGATTGCTGAGCCTGGAAAACCACCTAATCAACCCTCATATTCTATAAAGTCTCCTACAACCCTAATGTGATTTTGTCAAAGGTGCCTATTTGAAAGACTGTTATTTAAAATAATCAAGGCAATTGTAGCCCTTGACCTTATAATACCATTTTACCAATTCGGATCCGAGACTCCAAAGGTAGGTATATCTGAGAGTCTGGCGAAATGCACGCTGTTTACGCGCGTATTTTGAATTCGCGTCGTGGTTCTGAACGCTGAACAATGACTAAAACCACTTCTGCCAAGATTGCTTTCGCAGATTCAGAGGGTACCTACCTAAAGGAGTGAATGTACCTTCCAAAGATAAGGGTATAATTAAGCAATTATGTTTGTAGCAGGTATGGATAGATTCGTCTCTAGCTCATTTATTGCGTGACTTTATACAAATCAAACATAATTGCAGAACTTTTAATTCTACCCCTATCTTTAGAGAGTAAATTCGTCCCTTTATAGCATCTGAATCTGCAGTATTTGTGTTAGCAAAAGTGTTTCTTCTTTTTTGCATAATTTTCTAAAAGTTTTCCAGCTTGTTGCAAAAAATAGTTTCAGAACTTATAATCCTACCTCTATTTTTGGAGGATAGATTTGTGCCTTGGGTTTAGCCCCTGAATCTCAAATATCTGGGGTGCACTCGTGAGCTACTCTGTTCCGTGTCGCATCTCTAATTGATTTGAAAGTTTATTTTCGATTTTATGTTTATAGTGAAGTTAATATCCTTATTGTTGAAATACTATGATCTTAAATAAACGAATGGTTCAAGCACAGATACCGTATATCTGTGGTTCAAGGGAGTTCGTTGCCATACTAAGCATTTCCAACCTAGGTGCATCCAACATTTAAGTAGGTACCTACATATAAATAACTACCAAGGATTGGTTTTACAATTTACATTATTTGCATAATATAACACTTCCTTAATTATCTTAGTCGTAATAATTATAAAATAAGATTAATATGCGAAGAATATAACCAATGGATAGTCTCCCAAGAATCCATTTAAAATGTCTAACAAAGAGTTGACCAATCACAGCTAAAATTCCATAAATCAAAAATTAAATTTTACTGTGCGTTCCAATTTCAATTCGTGATAGCCTTTTTCGTCGTGTGTTTTTGGTAGTTTAAGCGTAGGTAGTTAAAATCCATGGCAACGATTATTGCGACAATGGTTACTCGGCTTAACTTTGTCGATGCAAACGTTCATTTTTAGTGTCCTGATTCCTAATTTCCTACAATATCTAAGGTAGATCTTTTACTTTTACAATCTAACATTATTTCATACATAAGTATGTACCTAGGTATATCAAATATCCTCGACCATTGTCTAATCTCTCAGCAATTTCCAATCACACTTTTGAAAAGGGTCTGCAGGAACTCTATCTTTCTGTGTCGGGTTCCAATTTATGATTTATTTAGTGTCCCACCGTCTCCACCACTTTCCATTCTTATCCTAGGTTCGGGGCTGCTATAATAGCTATTTATGTTACAAGTACATAATCTATGACTTTATTGGACGAGTCGAATTTATTGGCAGAGCGCGCTTGCGCGCGAGGCCAATAAAACAGACGAGATAATAAAGTCTGATTATGTACGAGTAACATACTTAGCTTTATGTTCGACTCGGAAAATGTAGTTCATGTATGTATTGAAAATTTGCTGAAACTTGGTATAGATTTCACTATTTAATAACCAGAAATAACATAGTGTGCCTTTTGTGTTGTCATAGATACGTGTTGTTTGGAAAAAAATCTGTTGATGTGTAGTGTCAATTTTGTTGGGTATTAACTAATTCTCTGTGCCTAATTATGAATCCAGAAGAAATTGATGGGTCCAACAGTATACAACAATTAGCCTGCAATGCCAGAGAGATGCTTTTACCAAGCAAATCAAAAACTGTATACGAGGCGGCATACAGGGAATACAGAAGGTGGTACTGGGGGAAGAAAATCAATTGCACCACGGAAGACTGTATATTGGCGTACTTTAATAGTGAGTTGGTCTCCTATAAAAGTTCTTCTTTATGGAGTAAGTACTCGATGTTACGATCGACAATTAATTTAAATGAGGGAGTGGATATAAGCAAATTTCCCAGCCTAATTCCTTACCTTAAAAGAAAAGGAGAAGGTCATAAAGCTAAGAAGTCTTTGACATTGGACAGAGAAAATGTGAATACGTTTTTGCTGAAAGCTAGTAATAAAGAACATTTGTTAAAAAGGTACCTACATGTCTGTTAAGGGTATGCCCTGAATAATAATTTACTATTTTTAGATAGTTCTTATATTCGGAGTAGCTGGCGGATGCAGGCGACAGGAATTAGTTTCATTGGAGACCACGAATATTGAAGATCATAAAGCTCACTTTATAGTCAAACTTGTGGAAACGAAAACAAAGACGGATCGATCTTTCATGATTGTCATGACTTAATTCGAAAATACATGGCACTTCGTTCTCCAAAGACACCTCATCGCAGGTTTTTCGTGAACTACGCGAAAGAGAAATGCACGGTGCAACCAATAGGGGTACACAAAATTGCAAGTGTACCAAGTATTGTGGCCAAATTTTTAAAGTTAGAAAATCCATCAGCGTACACGAGTCATTGCTTTCGTCGTACATCGGCCAATATTCTGGCAAATGCTGGAGCACGACTGGAGGATATAAAGCGCCATGGAGGATGGCGTTCATCAACTATTGCGGAAGGCTATATTGACCAATCTGACAATTCTAAAATTAGTGTTGCCAGCAAAATTTTGGGAACGGAAACCGTTATGGCAAATTCTTCGTTTATAAATTTAAAAGCCGTAGAGACCACAGAAATATTGCATCAAAAGGGTACATCGGGAATTAACATTACCAACAATAACAACTGTGTTATTACAATTAATTTAGTATAATTATTGAAATGTATAATATAGATATGTGTTTTTAAAATTATAACATTCTGTTCCGTGTACTTCTTCTTTAAAACAGATCGTTATTTTAAAATGCATTTTCCAAAGAAATTGACAGTGACAGGAGTCCAAATTACTTTATCATTATGGACTAGTCCAATAAAGTAGCAGATTATGGACGCTAAACAGTGTCATAACTCAGCGTATTATGATCGAGTCGAACATAATAGTTATTTGTGTACCAAGGCCGTAAAAGTGATCTTTTTTGGCCGAAGCTGCTGTTTGCGGCCGAGGCGGTAGCCGAGGCCGCAATTCAGATGAGGCCTAACAAATCACTTTTGGCCAAGGTGCACACAACATTTTTTAGGCGATCATCAAAAAAGAATTCAAAAATTTGCTCATAAACATATTTTTTCTGAAAATCATAGTTATCTTAGACAATTAAAAACAAAGCATTTCCTGTCATATGTAATTATAATTAGCATCTTTGCGTGTGTTTTGTGCGTATCAAAATGGGCGATAGCGACAGTTCAGATACCCCAAATGAAATTTTGGAAGCTGCAAGCGTTGCGACCCTAAGTCAAAAGTACAATCACAACTTCCTCCGTTGCGCAAGATTTTAATAATGTCAAATGCAATAGGTCCTTCGTAACTGTGGCTTCCAAGACCTTATAGTTAACATGCTGTACAATTATTAGAAACCTGATTACCTACTTTGATGGTAGGTATAGGTAGCTACTTGTGTTCTCGGTTAATTGCTGGTGATTCTTCGTATAATAATGTAAGCAATAACATCTTCCTCATGTTTTGGTTCTACACTTCAAAAAGGTCTGCAAGCAGCAAAGATTGAAACGTCAAACTATAATTTTAAATGTGAACATTGTGATTATGCAAAATAGTGTGAAACATTCCTACAAGTCCGAAAATGAAAAAAACACACGTGGATGGCCCTATCCTTGATGGGGCTAGACCAGATAGACGCTTTGTATCAAACAGATTACTGTTTCTCACACATCAGTTTCAAATAAGTACAGTTTGACAGATGTGTACAATAAAGTAAAGTTTGACAGAAGCGTACAATAAAGTGAAACTTTATGGCCGCAAAAGCGACCACAAAATCAACGTTTATGTGATGATAGCCTAAAAAGAATATTGTTTTGTTTTGCTTTATTGAATGTGCGTAGAGCTTCTTCACTGAAGATCGATTTCTTTCATATTTAAATCACGTTGTTTCATTCAATTCGTATTCTGACACCTTTCTAGACCACGTTCAGTTGGAAAACTCTCTAAATCTGTTACGTTGATCATCAAAAGGTCACATTTTTTTTAAAAAAAGGGCAAAGGCTGATAATAAAGGGGTTCTTATGGTAGAGGCCCGACTCTCTCAGCAAATGTTTACTTGTGGGCACTGAGAATCTCAAATGTTGATAAAAGATTCATTATAACAATGGGTAAAATACTGCGAACTTGGCACTAAAGAGTATCTATACAAATATGGTCTTTTCAATGATTAACAACTAAAAATATTACTTTGGCACATATGATTTAAGTAAACTGTGGAGGTAAATTAAAGCAATATAGAAATACTAATGGAATTGGTGTTTGGCAACAGATAATAATAAATAAGTAACAGGAAAATATTTATTTATAATTAAATGTAAATCACAACATCCAACAAAATCCCTATGAACATTTTCTAAACAAAGAAGTGGAGACTGGGAATTAAGGACAAAAGGAATGTTCAGTATTTCAACTTAAAAGTATACAATCTTGAAAGATTTGAGTGACACAAGCAAAGCTGTGCGTTTGAAGATAATAAATGTTTAAAATCCACCTTCAGAACTGTCTTATTTAAAAAAAAAGGTGTCACTTAGTACAATAGGTCGTAATATGAAAACTCATTTTCTTTGCTTCGATATTCACAAAGACAAATTCACTTATTGCACGGACGTAAAATTTCCGCACGAGTACATTTAGTATCAAAATATTAAAGAGAAAAGGATTAAAAAAATAAAAGTCAATATTACAAGAGGTTTCATCTGATGTGTTTTATTATGAAGACTGAGATACTATATACAAGTGTGCAGTGAAGAGAGGGCGATAACGGCGCTGTGTTCTTATTTCCGTGTTGCATGGCCGCTGGATGCTCTCCTGTAACAATAGATGGCTCCTTAATAATATATAATTACTTAAGCCCGCTTGACATGGAGCAATAAAAATTGCAATTGCATGCAAGTTGCAAGAAAAATTGCGAAAGGCATGCGCAGTTCAAAGCCAGCTGATCAATTGCTGCAAGAGACTTGCATGCAATTTTTATAGGACCGGTGCTATTTTTCTTGCATGAATCGTGCAATTCTAGGGATAAATCTAGTTGTTTTTGTGGCACCAACCTAGTAAAATACAGCGGCGGCAACTGTGATGCTGAGAGACGCACTCATTACTTGTTTTTACTAATCTTATTTATTCTTGTAATTTTCATGTTTCTTCAAGCAATCAAAATTTAATTTTCATTTGAGGTTAACAACTTTGTTGACAAATCCATATGTTTCTTCTGTTGGCAGACATGTGGCAATTGAAATAGAATTGCACCATGTCAAATACCATGCAATGCTTATTGCATGCAAGGATTTGACCTTGCAATTTCTTTCTGCAAGTTCTTGCGCGTAGTATTGCTCCATGTCAAGCGGCCTTTTAGGTATTCACAATAAAAATATAGTAAATACGTCGTATACCACCACGCAGATTAACATAACAAAGGCGCAGTGTGGAATACGGAATTCTTTAGTAGCATTTACATTATGCAGGATTTCTATTGTTCAAAAATTCTTATATTCTGGTCTAATAAAACATACCTAATTTATGATTATTATTGTATTGGAACAGTACACTTGAATATGTTCAAATTTCGGATGCTGTGTTTGGTCCATCAGAGTAATACAATGAAGAGGACAAAGCGGAGAAAAAAGGGATGCTCCCAAGCAGCTCAATCATTTTTAATTCATTATCCGTGAAACCATTTCATAATCAAAATACTTTACAAGTTTGTAATTCCCACATGAACACTACCTGCTACCAGAAAAGTTGGCCTAATGAGATTTATATGCCGTTGAATGTCGGTACTACATAAGTAGATAATATTTAACAAGAGCTTCCTTTTTGCTCACAGATTAATTTCTTTTGAACTAATCAAATGTAAAGAGGACGTCCAAAAAGACGGTCGCTGGTTTAAAAGTATGGACATAATGTGTTATAAACAAACCACTCCAACGAGAAAACTTTAAAAAGATCTGTGACGTATACTTTGACGAAAGTATACACACTGATATTACAAAAAGCACAAAAGGCCGATCTCCACGATGCGATAGATGCGACGAGTAGGAAAATGTCTACTAAAAGAGGGTTAGGGATAGGATTCCTATTTTTTATTTTAAAACTCGTGTAAGGGTAGTTTTAAATTAAGTTAAAACGTAACGAAAAAATTGTAGGACGTAGATCATTGGGGTTCAGGTACTTATTACAATAACGTTGTTGAAATCAGTGGGAAAAGTGGTGGGGGCAGTTGTTGCAAAGCTTTTGCCAGTTCTTTATAGAATCACAAAAAAATGAGTTTTCTTCGGGATGATATCCGTTTCCGTCTCCGTGTGTCTCCGAAAGCCACCATGGGCTGCCTGGGGGCTTTCGTAAACTGCAGACTGAGAAAGTATATTATCCTCGGAAGTCAGGATGGCGATCGACGGAGCACTTGGCTTTATAAAGAACTCGAAAAACGCCAGCAATGCTTTAAAGGACATGGTTAATTTCAGGATGCAGGGGAGGCCCATTAAAAGACCACTGGCCACTGATGACGAGGATGAGGACGATAAGGAAAAAGGTACTTCATACAGAGAGATCCTTAAACGCGATATAGGTAGGTACTCATTTTATTTGATCAGGAAATTTTCATCTCCAGAAAGGAATGAGAACTGAGTCTTCACCCAGGTAAGGTTTACCCCCTAAAATTCCGTTCTCCTGGCATGTGATTATACAAGCAGGGTCTCGGTGGTGGATATTGGCCGCCTAGATGTAAGCCAATGTGTATTACATTGCCTGTCTTTTCTGCTCTCGTGTCTTCTCTACCTTCGATATCTCTGGTTCAGTAAATCATGACACATAGTCGCGATATTAACTTCCATCCTCGCTCGCTGCCACGTATTGTTTTAATAAAATAATCCGAGGTGAGATACCGCATTGAGTCGCCACTCGAACCCGATCTTTTGTCAATCTGGCGCATTCGAAGACCAGGTGGTGCCCCTTGCCGTCGAAGTTGCCACAATCCAAACACATCTCGTCCCCACTCTTTCCAATCCATTGTAGATACCGACAGTTCTCCGTGTCCGCAGAAGAAATGGGTGAGATAATAACTGATTTCTTTATGCTGACCTTTAATTCAATATCTTATATTGAGGTTCAACCACTTCGTACACGACACTTTACCCTTAACCAACTCTTTCGCCCGCGATCACGAAAATATCTTCGTCCGCCACAGTCCTATACGCGCTCGTTATCCTAATGATTGCCATTACCTACGCGGGTAACCTCTTTCAATCTGTAACTACACTCCCCCACTTGACCGCACTACCCTCCACGTTTTCTGACGCATAATTCACCATCTATGCTACAGCGGTGGCCATCACCCTTCTCTTTGAACCTCTGGCGTTTCCAACGTATGGCAGGATGCGGTTGATCGCAATTAAAAACCAATTTCCAGGCCTTTTCACAGGTCATTTTGATTTAGATTAGTGTCCACTGTAGCGCCTAGTACTTTTATAGTCTTGTGCCATAATTGCTGTAACCCACCACATTTACCTCTGTCCATTTTCTTCTGCCCGTCAAGATTGCTACACTCATCTTTTCAGGGACAAGATTGAGCCTGCAATTGATAATCCAGTGGTTTACCCGGTTAACGGATTTCTCCAGATTGGTAATTGCCGAGTCCAATTTTATTTATTATTTTTAGCGCATTTTTGCCCGCGCCTTCGTCTGGACTCACTTCTGTCGCTTTGAACTACTTTTAGGGGCATTGTCCCTTTTCTGTTCGACTCCTTCAGTGGGTGAGAAGTTATTTTTCATGGTATTCTAATTAAAGATCTTACCAAAATTAATCTTTCATGGAACTCCAACAAAAGGTCTCAACACAAGGAACTAATTTCTACAATCGATTGTCCTCCTCACATCTACTGGCCATGTCAAAACTTGATTGTGAATATCTTGAAAATATTGGAGGAAGGGAGCTACAAAGGGAAAATGCAAGCCGCATTAAAGGAATTCTTCACGTCCAGTGATGCCACCAAACAAGCCTCACGTGCCCTCCACATCCCTCCGTTTTCCTGCTTCACTTCTTATGCGCCTAAGCACATAGGTCGTTAATCGCCCCTTTACAAATCCATAATGTTTTGGTGATAATATCCCAGCTGTTGACCATTCCAATCTTGATTCAATTATCTTTCCGAAAATTTTTTCGGCTAAGCCCAACAAACAGATGGGCCTGAGGAATGAGGGTCCTAGCCAGGATTTTAACCACCACTGCAGATGTTATCTGGGTTAGGTGCTTAATTTACCGGAAGTTCCTTGGCAGTAGCTGCTATTTCCTCAACCTTCACTAGCTCTTCGGTTCCTAGTTGCGTTATTCCATCCCACCACCGCTGTTCTTGCCCTAATCTTACACGCCACTATCTTGTACGCCTTTCCCCGATGTCCTTGTCTAGCTCTTCGCACAACCCTTTCCAACACCGAGGTACATACTTCACCTGAACCTCTTTTTTATTTTCAAAGTGTCCTCCGCACGCGAATCGTCTGAGTTTACGATGTACGTCACCTTTTTGACATGTGGGCTGGTTCCGTAGCCCCGGTACTCATGCTGACTCAAATGAGGGTTTTAGGGGTTAAACCTTACCTGGGCGAAAGCTCACTCGCTATAGAGTCAAGCGGGAGGCACCCTTTGAAAGATTTCCTAAACCCCCCAAAGAAAAAACACTGCGGAAACCGCCCACCAAGTTACTTGATCCATTCCTTAGGAGTCCTGGAGACGTGAAGCGAGAGCGAGAGAACCACGTGAATGTAATTCCGGACTTCCGGACCCTCAATTTTTATGGCCTTTGAAAAATTCACATTCCTTTCTCTAGATGAAAATTTCCTGGTTGAACGTCAACTTAAATAAATTTTCTGAAAAAGCTCCTTCCCTACACGGCGTGGCGTTTGAAAATTGCTCAAGTAAAAAACGTAAACGTAAGAAAAACCTGAAAACAAAACGTGGCATATAGCATTTTTGTTCAAATCAATGTCACCAGATTTTCCACAATAGTTTACTATTTCAAATATTCCAATTTCTTCGTCGAGATGAAAAACTATTACAGGAAAAAGGCACAAAAAGAGATTGAGATTTAACTTTCGGAAGGGCAGGATAAATGATATCTTCGAAAAACCTCCACCTTTTATAGCTCTTAAAAAATTGTAAGAAATGAAATTATTAGTTACTTATTAATGAATGATTAACAAAGCATCTTTTGCTCAAGTCAACCTCATCAAATTTTCCGGAAAAATCTGCTTTTAAAATTCTCTGAACGGAAGATCTATTAAAGAAAAATGCACAAGAGGCAATTAGGATAAAATTTTCCGGAATTTTTATTGTTCGTTAAGGTAAAAATACTAGTGAAACAGTTTTTGGGGTTTGCTAGAAACACCTTACCATTAAATTCTGTTGTATAAATAAATTATAAAAATTAATGGTGACGGTTGGATCTGAAACACACTATCCCAGCAAACCATTAAACGAGTGCATTCATTACAAGAAAATATATACGTACCATTAATGACATGTACATTTACACTAGCAGGGGCAGCAATGGTTGGAACACACGAATAGTTTCCACTATCTGAAAGACGTGCGCTTGAAATGTGCAAACGAGAGGTCAGTCCATCCGACCAGTGATTCTGAATAAGAGAAGTGTGTCAAACTTTGGTATAAAACTCGGCTAGTCTTACCTGTATGGATAGCCTTTCAGTCGAATCTGGATCATTAGGATGCGTTGGTGGTGTCTGTAGTATATTTGCGCCTAGATACCAAAAGACGGTACCCAAATCGTGGGGTCCTTGATTGATAACGCATATCAGTGTTACGGAACTTCCCGCTTTGACGTGCAAATCGCCTGGGCCCAAAACTCGCGCTTTTGCTTCTGAAAGTAATGGTAATTTGTTAGCAAACTGGAACTGAACGTGTCTCTGGAGTGAATTGTCTCAGAAGTGCACTCTTCCAATTGGTCAGTTTGTTTGTAAAGGGTGATATCTTAAATGAAACTGACCCCACAGGTGCTTAAATTAGTGAACAAAGTAATAAGTAGATAAAAAATAAAACGTATTCGTACGATACGAAGTAGCCGTCATAAAACCGTTTCATATATTTCTATGTGAATAGACAATTTCGGAATATGAATAATTCATGAACTTTAGTTCAATAGGATCGCGAATAGAGCTAGACTTGAATATATTAACCCAGAGAATTTTCAGATCAACCTGTCTAACACTTTGGATGATTACAGAAACAGTGTGCGGAGCATAAAGGACCCGCTCACTCATACATTAATGCGTGGTGGTAAACGCGATGCCGCATTAATCGGTAAGTGCAGAAGATTGATGACGACTTGATAATGAATTTCTTTCGATTAAAAATAATCCCCCGAGTTACAAAAACGTCTACGAATTAAGTTGTATTTGACCGATTACTTCGCCGTAGTCGTCGCATCCGCTTAATCAACTTTCCTCAGAAATGTCTGCGTTAATCCAAAGACAAATTTAAATAGAGCTCTCATTTGGTTTCATTTGATCTACAGGATCTCCTTTTCCATACGAAATTTTATTGAACAGATTGCTGACTGGTAGAAAATGAGAAAGAAAATACGACTAAGATTACTAAATAAGAAAAAGGGTAGATACTAAACTTTAAATGTGTTTTCCAATAGTCGTCTAATGTTAAAACTATGGAATTAGCAATTTAGTTAAATTCGTATAAATAGGAGTACCATTTTACTATTACGACCCTTACGAAAGTAGGTATATTAGGTAGGTAAGTTTATTAAGCTCGAGCTCGCTTAGAACATAAAGATATTATGATCAACACAATATGTGCATGTACTCAAAATTTTATTTATATTTAATAAACTGTAATGTTTTAACATTATTTAATTATTCATGTTGCTGTGATATCACGTATAATTTTAGTTTATGTAATCCTTTTACGTTTATCGAGAAAGGCTTATCACCGTTCGTTTTTCTTTATTTAAAGTGAATTGGCCATTGTTAGTAAAAAGGGGTTGCTTTTATTTATTTCGTGTATTTGTGTGGAGTGTCCAGGGTTTTTGTCCCGTAGAAGGTTTCCCTGGTATCGCCTTGTTGTGGGAGTAATATATTTATTTGTCCTTGTCTTTTCTTACGCACATTCTGCATTTTATTTAATTCTCTTCCCGATTATGTCTTATGTCCCAACATTACACAACGTATGAGTTCATTTGTACCATCCATATCGGGTCGACTACTACCGAGATTTAAACGTGCTCGTAGTTTTTCCCGAGAGTTGCCAATTGTAAAAGTATAGGGTAAATCAACATTGTCAGTGTCGGTTGAGGAACAACAGGCTAAGAAATTTATAAAAGGAAAGAAATAATATAGTTTTATTGAGATAATTCTCTAGAGCTATTCATGCAATCCAAATGCACGGGAAATGTATTAATTGTAGATCACAAATCACAATATATTCCAAAACCTATAAATGCATGTGAACTGTCCATCAATAGAGGGCAAAATGCATTGGAAAGCTTTGTTTTTTCAGATGTAAAGAAGCTCCTACCTTTATTCTGCAACGGTTGGGACCGGTACCGGTAAGAACCAGTATCGGAACCGGAACCGATTGCATTGATAATCCCCTCACTTGAACAGGAACCGTTATTTAAGAAGTTTTGACAACCGGAACCGATACCAGTACCGTTATTATTAGTGTCAAAGAACCGGTATTTCTCAGTTTTTCCTCTGTTGTATGTAAAGAAACGTTGCGCTTCGTAAGATGAAAATGTGTTTTACATTGTTGCTCTTAAAATCTGGTTCTAAAGTTGCGTATGGCAAAAAGTTATAATAGTCAAAATTGTCCGTATTGTAATTTTAAAATTTGGCCATGATGGTTGGCCGCCTTGTAAACCGTGATGTTACGATGAGGAGTTCATTTTTTTATATTAAGAGAAATAACGACAATCTAATTTTTTAAATAGCCGATTGATAGAACATTAATAGTATTTTAGAGTTAGTTCATGAACTCCCTTGGGGTAAATAATGTATTATGTACGTGAAGTATTTATACACAATTAATGATTAATGAATTTATAACGGCACTTAAATAGATTGATTTTTAATATGTAAATTTTTAACACGAGCGCGAATTTATCACTTTGGCATCGATATTGGAACTATTAACTGTTAAACAAAATTCAATTTGCTTTTATATAGCACACGATAAGCTTCTAGAGATTTCTAGAGTCAGCATTACACACTTCCTGGAAAGTACACGTCACATTCCTTATTACCGGTGACTAACTCTTTATCGACTGGATGGCAAAGAATAAAATCATGCCTTTTGAATTGCGTTCAGAGTGGTAAAATGCGTAATACATTTTAAAAGTCAAAAATCAAAATTCTCACTTTTATTCAGAGCTGCAACACTAATTTCTACCAACTAAAGAAATATAACATATTTTAGAGCGACTAATACCGAAAATGAATCAAAAACAGTATGAGGGTTTAAGAGTGCGTGAGGGAAAGCTGAAGAAAAGGAAAGTAGAACAAGGCAGGCAGTTGATAGAGGTGAAACTAACGCGTAATTTAAAATAATGATTCAATTAAACCTAAAAAATATTGTGTGAACGTCATGCAGACGATATTTACGTTTAAACACCTAAAATAATGACGGGACACCCTGCATATGAATTTTTTAATTTACTACACCCAGATAAGCAAACGAATAAGCACAGAATTGGTGTATTTTACCTGAAGTTGTATTTTCTGTGGTTTCTTGTATGTAGCATTGTGTAAAAAGTGAAATTCCGTATTAAAATGTAGATACATCTGGTCGTTTGCGATAAGGGGCGAGATTTAATTAATGTGCCTGTTATCAAGGGTGATTATGATTGGTGCTTTATTTGTAAATACTGGAAGAAGAGGGTTTATTGCATTATGAAAGTGATGTTTCGTTGGGAGTGGCAGGCTTGTGCTCGTCCGCGATGGTTGGAAAGCGTAGTTTCTTTACGATATTTTTTATTCGAGCGGTGTATTTGATTTGATTAATGTTTATACCATTCGCACAGCCACTGATAATTGATGTCATCGTGTTCAACAAGCCAGTTCATCAAGTTTGTGTGTTGAAGAAAAGTGAAATCATTGAACGACCCGATTATTGGGACTGTTAAAAGAGAAAGAAAACTGTAAGTAATTTTAAGATTTTCTTATTTCTTTTATCGATCGTCGTGTAAGGGGTACTATGTAAAAACAATCTTTGTAAACTTCTCTGCCAGGAATTTGGGATTAATTTTTCATTTAATGTGTCTCGGAATAAATTTTTGTGTTTGTCAATCATTAATTGTGTGTTTATTGGAACCCTTTGTGTGACCCGGAGAGTGTTTAGGAAAAGAAAAAAAATAGCTAAAGGATGAAAAGTTAAGAAACAAAACCCATCTCCTGAACTGGAACTTGCTGCAGTAAGTATAAGTCCATATCTTTGGTACCAACATCAAATGAATTTAATTCATAGTGTATTATGTACGAGTATATGTATAAATATTAATGTACTTTTGGCACTTGGGCCCGTAGGTTATAGGTATTGTGTCTTATGGATCACGTGACGCCCAGAAGCATTTACGATGGATTCCTTCCGCAATTCTTAAAAAAAAATAAATAACACCAGAAGGCTGATCGATCCCTGAGACCTTTGAAAACGAAAACCTACGACAAAATACATAAATGCACTGAAATTCAATACATTTATGTTTGGGCACAAACTGTATGTTAAAGAGATAAAATATGGACATTAAAAGTGTTAGGCATTTATTCTGGTGGCTCGTCAGAGGATCTATAGGGATTGGTATGCCATAACTCTCGATTCCTTCTTTGTTCCTTGTCGTATTCATTTCTCTCGCTCTCTTTTACTCAATGTTTCGTAATCCTCGACTGGCTCCCGGTTCAAGCCATTACAGGATCAGTTTACCGATCCATATTCCTCAAGTCTAATATCTTAATCCGTAACCGCCGACCAACGCAATAATGCGACCTATTTTCGTTATAACAAAACCACTGTCCACTTGGTTTGCTGTCAGGATTGCATATTATCCGTACTTTATTTCTAGAATGCGAAATTGTATTTGTTATGAAATTTATGATTCTTTGGCCGAATCTCATAGAAGCGATGACCGTTTATTAACAATTTTTGATTGCGAACGTGCCCTCTTCGTTAATTTTAACTTATAATTGTACGGAGATAAATTCGCAATGAATAGCGCCAAAATGAACCTAATGAATTTATTATTTACCCAAGTTGCATATATTTTGCTAATTAAATCCTCTCTTAAACAAGCAGTAAATTTAATATACGGCTAGCTATTTTTAGTATTTTCGCCGTTAAAAGTTTGCGAGTTTTATTAGCTTAGTTGACATTATCTAACAAAACTTTTCAGGAAAAGGAATGAATATAAACTCGAAGTTAATTATATTTACATCCAAGTGTGATTGTGAGGATACTAAAAAAACTGAATTAATGATGCTGTCGTTTCCCGATGGGGTGCTTATCGACAATCTTTATTTTTACTGATAAAGGAGGAAAAAAAGGGAGAAGGATTAGATATTTTGGTTTTCCTCTGGAATCATAAATCGTCACAGCCCTAACCATCCAACGTCCAAGCTTTTATTTAGATTTTAAGCTTTCTAGGAAGGTATAAATTTCCTCATTTCAGTATGGTTGTACTTTCTTATTTTCCTGTAAATTTTGCAGAACTTAAAATCTAAACAGTGAGCCTAACAGTTCCATTCATGTAAAATGACATGTAAGAATTCCATGGGATTAACATTTTCAAAAAGTTTATGCAGTTATGTATGCCGTTTTTAGCGCAGTTCCCAAAAGGAAAACGAATGCTATTGTACG